CTATGTCTTGACCCACAGGCAACAGAAGGAAAAACTGTGTCACACTGGCCAGTCTTGAGCTTATAAGACTTCAAAGCCTGCCTGCACAGTGACACACTTCCTCCAACAAGGCCACACCTCCTCCTAATAGTGCCCCTCCCTGTAAGCCAAGCATTTACAGGCTTGAGTCTGTGGGGCCATTTCTATCCAAACCACCAGGTTTGTTCCTGTGCATGACTAGGGGATGGTTATTTGCACTCATAGAAGTCAGAAGATTTCTAATCCCCTGGAGTTATAGGTAGTTGTGCGAAGCCTAACGTGGATACTGGGATTAAACTTGGGTCCTCTGGATACGGTTGGCTCAGTGGTTCAGTTCACCAGCACAAGGAGCCGCACTACCTCCTCAGGCACCAGGGAATGTGGTGTATAGATGCATATCCAGACAAATACACATAAAGTACGTCTAAAAAATGGACACACTTCTCTCAAGAGTAGTCTGTACTTATTTTTGTTTGTTTTTCAAGAAAGGATTTCTCTGTGTAGCCCTGGCTGTCCTGGCACTCGATTTGTAGACCAGGCTGGCCTTCTCAGAGATCCGCCTGCTTCTGCCTCCTGAGTGCTGGGATTAAAGGCGTGCGCCACCACCTGGGTTAAATTTGGGTTTTATATGTGTCAATGTTTAGATCAAATCCACCCTCCACTTACATCCCCCAAGCCCTGCTGTATCCCCTTCCCCAGCCTGTCCCCTCCCACCTTCATGGGCTCTTTTATAAAACCAGAGTCCATTTGTGTCTCCAGTGTGTGCAGGAGACAGCACCATGCCCATGGGCACACTGGAGCATGGGCCGCCTATCGGGAAGAATTCCTGAATAAAACTGACACACTCTCTCCTATCAGCCATCAGTTGCCAAAAGTTCCTCACTCAGCTAGGGTGGGACTTCTGAGCCTGTCCTCATCCATGTTGAAAGCTTGGCTGGGTTGATTGTGTGAGAGCAGCTACAGCCTTGGAGTTTGTGTGTGTGTGTATAGTGTGTTGTGTGTATACATATGGTGTGTGTGTTGTGTTGTGTATGTGTATGGTGTGTGTGTGTGGTGTGTGTATGTATGGTATGTGTGATGTGTATATGGTGTGTGTGTATGGTGTGTATGGTGTATGGTATGTTGTGTGTATATGGTGTCTGTGGTGTGTGTGTATACATATGGTGCGGATGTGTGTGGTGTGTGTATGGTATATGGTGTGTGTGTGTATGACTGAGCACTTCCAGTATCTTACACGCTGTACATTGATCGGTTGTCTCCGTATTAATTGCCATCTTTTGCAAAAAGAAGCTTCTAATGAAGTTAACTCAAATTTATTAACTGATTGATTGTTTTTTTGAGACAGGGTTTCTCTGTGTGGCCCTGGCTGTCCTGGAACTCACTCTGTAGACCAGGCTGACCTCGAACTCAGGGATCCTCCTGCCTCTGCCTCCCAAGTGCTGGGATTAAAAATGTGCATCACCTGCAACAAAAATTTAACTAGTTACTAAACCACACTAGAATCTATGCATTTGCAACCATTAAAAAACTGGTTTATGAGCCGGGCGTTGGTGGCGCACGCCTTTAATCCCAGCACTCGGGAGACAGAGGCAGGCAAATCTTTGTGAGTTTGGGCTCCAGTTTAGGCTCCAAAGATACACAGAGAAACCCTGTCTCAAAGAATCAAAAAACAAAACAAAACAAAAACTGGTTTATGGAGCTGGAGAGATGGCTCAGAGGTTAAGAGCACTGGCTGCTCTTCCAGAGGTTCTGAGTTCAATTCCCAGCAACCACATGGTGGCTGACAACCATCTGTAATGAGACCTTGTGCCCTCTTCTATCATGTAGGCATACATGCAGGCAGAAAACTTTATGCATAATAAATCTTAAAAAAAATAACCAAAAAACTGGTTTATAAAAAACTAAAAGGAGTTTGTCATATTTTTACAATTATAAACCACAGGAGTGTTTTAGAAATTCAGTAAACTGCCAGGTGGTAGTGCAAAGCCTTTAATCCTAGCACTCAGGAGCAGAGGCAGGCAGATCTGTGGTCTACATAACTCCAGGACAGCCAGGGTTACACAGAGAAACCCTGTCTTGAAAATAACAAAACAAACAAAATCAGTAAGCTGGAGCTGGAGAGATGGATCAGCAGTTTTCTGAGCACCAACTGCTCTTCTGGAGGTCCTGGGTTTGTTCCTCAGCACCCACGTGGTTCCAGGGGATCTGCCACTGCCTGTGGTACAGATACACAGGCAAAACACCCATACACATAAAACACAAAAGAAAAATTAAGAAAAAATCACTAAGTGTGGACAGATAAAAGCAAAACCCTCATACATGTTCTTTAACTTTACACTTACTCCTGTGTGAGCACCCGCACACTGCAAATGTGTGGGGACAGAGGACAACAACCCAACCAACTTGTAGAAGGCAGGCAGATCCAAGGCTTTTTTAAAAAGTCCCCGATGAAAAGACAGAGCACTGCTAGAGGTTGCTAGTTCTGTGTCCTTGCCCAGGGCCAGAGCTGGCAAGGTCTGGTTTGGGGTTGGGGCCAGGGCCTTGAAGTTTTAAGGTTTCAGTTTGTAGGCATCTCCTTTCCCCCCTTAATAGTCCCAAGAGTGATATGTGCCTGGTCCATGGTGCACCTGCGGCAACCTGGGCTCTCTGTGCAAGACAGCTTGCGTAGCTTCCTGTTGGCATCATCCCATTGTATGGCTGCTTTCTGCTGACTGCTCCATTTTCCTTCTACAAACTCATATACTTTACACACACATATATAATTTGTTTCTATGTGCATTGGTGTTTTGCCTGCATGCATATCTGTGTGAGCGTGCCAGATCCTGGAGCTAAAAATAGCTGTGAGCTGCCATGTGGGTGCTGGGAATTGAATGGGGGTCCTCTGGAAGAGCAGCCAGTGCTCTTAACCACTGAGCCACCTCTCCAGCCTGATACTGGCCTAAGAAATAATCCAGGCAAAACCTCCTGACCCCAAAGTTTCCTAACTATATTTTCTGGTCTCTTGGTCCTCCTCTCAGGAACCTGTCTGTCACTGGCAAAGCTGCTGGGCCAGGTCACCAGCCAACCACAATGACTGTCAGGAATCACCACCACCCATAGCTATTTCACTTCTTAGGAAGACAGACTTAAAGAATTCAGAAAAGGAGGAACAACTCTGGGTAGCAAGTGTTTAAACTTTTGACTCCATAGAACATTAGGTGATGAATTTGTAAAGTTCTAGGCGGCAGCTAAAAGCTGTGCCATGAAAGAAAACCAGGAAGATTAACACTTGAGTTTTAGGGTCCTGGTAGCCCGGGGTTCTAAGCACTGTGAAACCACAGGGAAGCCTTTGGACATAAGCAAAGCACCTAAGCTGACCTGAAAACCAGGCTCATCCAGGTAAAAACCAAAGGGCTGTGTGATAGCTAGTGCTGTCATCTTGATCGTCTAGAATCATCTGAAGACTGGTCTCTGGGCACACCTGCAGGGGACTGTCAATTATGCGGGAGACAAGTGTAGCTATGGGTGGGCCCATTCCTGGGCAGGAAAGATACTCTGAGAGAGAGCTGACCAACAGTGATCTTTTCTGTCTCTTCCTTTCTTTTTAAAGGTTTGCTTTTATTCTATGTGTATGGGTGTTTTACCGGCATGTAAGTATGAGTACCATGTATGTGTGGTGTCCTCAGAGGCCGGAAGAGGGCTTTGGCTCCCTGGGAACTCAGTTGCCCATATGGGGATGCATCACTCTATTCTGGCCTCCGAGGGCACTCAACACATGTGGTGCACAGATATGTATATGTAGGTATAACACCCAACACATTAAAAGTTCTAGTCCCAAGTGTCATGGCAGCTCTGGCAGCCTGGAACTCATTGTGTAATCCAGGCTGGCCTTGAACTCATAGAGAGCCACTTGCCTCTGTCTCTGTCACCACACTTCACTTTTTTTGGAGGGGGCTCTGTAGTGTAGATCACCTCTTCAGTCCTACCAAGATCCCAGGTCTATGCAATGGGATAAGGTGGTGGTGCTGGTTAACACAGTACAGTATTCGGGAATAAGACTACATTTAACAGCCAAGATCCAGGAATTTAAATTTATTTCTTATTTTCAACAATATGAAGTACTGTTAATAGAAGCCCAAATGAAGTGACATAGTGCTAATCTTCAATCTTAAGCAATTATCATTTGTTCCAGGAGAAAGGGTAAGGCTTGTGTCAACAAGTCTAATGACATCAACCGCCCTGGGGCTGCTTTCATGTCAGTGTCAGACACCATTTCCACTCCATCACACCAGCTCTCAACAGCACAATGCTCTCAATTCTTTTCATGATGCAAATGCCATGGATACAGAGCTAACAGGTTAAAATGTCTTCTCTGTGATTTTAAGAACAAAGAGTCCCTATTAGCCAGGCATGGTGGCACACACCTGTAATCCCAGAATTCAAGAGACTGAGGATCAAGAGTTCAAGGCCACACTGGGCCCATCTCAAAACAAACAAAATCACCAAAAAAAAAAAAAAAAAAAAAAAAAAAAAAAAAAAAAAAAAAACCCCAAAAAAAAAAAAAAAAAACAAAAAAAAAAAAAAAAAAAAACCCCAAAAAAAAAAAAAAAAAACAAAAAAAAAAAAAAAAAAAAAAAAAAAAACAAAACAAAAAACAACCCTCACACATGCAGGCACGTGTGCACATACACACACATACACCATAAAAGGTGTATTTCACCTTTAAGCACAATGATTGTAAAGACAAGCAACTGAAGGGGCCATTTGACCAGCTAGGTAAGGCTGCTAGCGCTTACCACAAAGCCAGGTACTCAGCTGCAACCTCCGCTCATCCTTCAGGCCACATCAATGATTACATCTCCTGAACTAGAAACCACAGTGCATGGCTATAGCAAAGGGTTTTCTGTTATTTCTGGGTGTAAAAGGTGAGCTGAGTGATTTACTTTTATATGCCAAATACTTGACCATCAACCATTTTAATGGCTTATGACAAGACGAAAGAATCTTTCAAATCTGGATTGTCCCAGGAAATTTACTTAATGAAGTAACCAAAATACATCAGTGCCACAGCTGAGGGCTCTCCCTATACTTAACCCACAAGGTAGGAATAGTTACTGTCTTTAGTATCTCTTTTAGGAGAAGGCAAGCAGGAAAGGTAGGACATCAGCAACCATGACTGAAGCCTGGGCAATGGCCAAATAAGTAAAGATAACTATGCCTAAGTACGTCAGAAACTGGGGAACAAGGTGCAATTGTGCTAAGACCAGGAAAGTTAGAGCCCAGAACGGACGATCATTCCAACAAGGGCTTATGGTTCCTAGGTGGGTGTGGTCAGCTATATTCATGATAGAGCTCACAGAGTGACACACGTGCACAGCCTTTTTAGTGTAGATTACTTAGGCTGGAAAACCTAGAAAGTTCCACCTTATAAAAGACCGTTGCTTTAGAAAACATATATCCAGTGATTAGCAGTGAAAATGTGAAAATAAGGATTTAGAAGTAAACTGTTAATTGCTCAGTCATGCCTACTGGGATTAGCAGCAGCCCAGATGGAGGTCAGACAGACCACGCTGTGAAGCCAGCCCTCTTAGTACCTAAGAGTCTGTGACTGCACTCAAAGCATTTCATCTCTACAGTCTGCTCATTTCTCTTTACTTATAGAGGAAAAAGGCCAACCCACCAGTTGCTCTATAGCTACACAAATTTGATGAAGATTTCACAAGGATTAGTGAATCAAGGAGGAGAGATTTCCTGCCACTCTCTGAGCAAGTCAGACTTCTCCTGGGGAAGCTCAAAGCTTGGACTGCAGGGGTTTCAAGTGCTTGTAGTAAGACTCGTGGACCTGCAGGGAAAGCAGAGACGGCCAGTCAGGAAATTCCCATGTAAACTAGCATCTTTAAACAGTAACAGCAACACAACTTTTAACTGAGAAATTATGTGGACCTTATACAGGCAGAAATACAAATGTTTGTTTTTGTCATTTTTTTTTTAAAACCAGGGGCTCATTATAGCCTCAAGCTCATAGCTCTGCTTGCCTCTGCCTCCCAGTGCTGGGATTAAAGTGCACACCACTAAGCCCAGCCTTTATTTAAAAAATAGACATATAAATGTTATGTATTGAATCTTACTATTCGTGTGTGTGTGTGTGTGTGTGTGTGTGTGTGTGTGTGTGTGTGTGTGTGTGTGTGTGTACGTTAGTATGTTTCTATGTGTTCAGGGGCCCATGGAAGCCAGAAAGGATATTGGATCCCTTGGAGCTGGAGTTACTATGTGAGTCATTCAACATAGGTGGTAGGAACCAAATCCAGGTAGGAGCATTAAATACTCTCCAGCCCCTCCTCTCTCTTATATGACAAAAGTCAGTGGGCCAGGAGTGCCACTCAGGGACAGAGCCCTTGCCAGCACCTGCCAGGTCACCATGGGCACTGCACAATTAAATGAGAGCTCCAGAAGCCAGAAAGACACTTTTTGCTTGTTTTACCTCCGTTTTGTTTAGTGGGGATTTCTTAGCCCACTCAAACAAGTTTTCATACACATTCCCGTCATAGCGGCCAAGAACAGAGCCGAGCGCCATATCCTTAAAGTCAAAGGCATCCACCAGAGCAACGGCGTTAGGCCGGATTAGTGTGAGCAACTCCAGGATCCGGCTATTTACTTGTGACATCTGAGCTGCAGTGATGATGTTCCCCTAAGGAAAATAGTAAAATGAATAAAAACATGTACAGACTAGACATTTATACACACAGAACTGTAAAACAGACAACTGCTTAAAATCAAACAGACAAGCACAAAACAAGACTTCTGCTTTGGAAATACTGACCTCAAGGAAATCTCCTCCCTTCTGGCTGATCCCATACAGAGAATATAAGAAACACAGATTCCTCAGGACAGCCTGGACGGCCTTGTCTTGAATCTTGGGGAGTTTATCTGAAAACAGCTTAACTGCCACATAGTGGCAATGGGCCTAGAGAAAAGACAAACAGTGGCGTGTGGGAACCCTCGCAAAGGTGGGTGTGGTGGTTTACGTGTCTAACTCTAATCTGGGAGGCTGAAGCCGGAGGCCTGCCCGGGACTGCCAGGTCAGTTTTAGTTACATGGTGAGTTCCAGAGCAGTGGTGGCTACTGAAGCTGCCACAGTGACCTGGACATGAAGGAAGGGGCAGCAGAGCTTGGTGAGGGAGCCACCACTGACCTCACTGGCCCGAACAAGGTACACAGAAGTTAGGTTCCACGCTACTTCCTTGCTCTTCCTGTGACTCATATGAGTGTGGAGGTTTTTTGCAGCAATTTCTACCAATCTGTTAAGCAAGAAGGAAGAGTAGAGAGCGGAGGAAGCCGTCTTGGTTCGCACTCCTCTAATGGGCCCCAGCCTGGAGACCTCACGGCTGTCCTCTTACCCTGAGGGGCGCTCACCTGGCTGCACGAAGCTTGTAGGCTTCAGTCAGGCTGTCCAGGCTGTTGATGTCCACCAGAGTTGGCCAGACTGCCACCTGCTGTGGTTGGATACGCTGACTGGGCAGGTCATTTAAGTAGGACACCATGCCCCCCACCAACTTCCCAGAGTGCACCTGGTCATAGGTTTTCATCAAGAACCTAGAAATCACCAAAACACATGCTTTTAATAGCTCCTGAAATGATTTCACACTGTCTGACCATTGTGCTGGCTAACTTTATGTCAACTTGATACAGGCTAGAGTCATCTGAGAGCAGGGAACCTCAAAAAATACCTCCATAAAAGTAGGGTGCAGGCAAGCCTGTAGAGCAGAGGTTCTCAACCTGCTTGCTGGTCGCGACCCCTCATCATAAAACAGATATTTAAATGATGATTCATAACAGTAGCAAAAAAAATTAGATATGAAGTAGTGACGAAAACAATTTGATGGTTGGGGTCACAGCTACATGAGGAACTGTGCTAAAGGGCCGCAGTACCAGGAAGCTTGAGAACCACCGCTGCAGAGCATTTTCTTAAGTTAGTGACTTTGCGAGAGGGCCCAGCCATTGTGTGTGTATTATCATCCTGGGCTAGTAGTCCTAGATTTCTATAAGAAAGCAGGCTGACAGCTGGGCAGTGGTGGCGCACACCTTTAATCTCAGCACTCAGGAGAAAGAGGCAGGCGGATCTCTGTGAGTTCAAGGCCAGCCTGGTCTACAGAGTGAGTTCCAGGACAGCCAGGACTGTTACACAGAGAAACCTTGTCTGGAAAAAACAAAACAAAAAGAAAGGCTGAACAAGCCATGGGTGGCAAGCCAGTAAGAGGGAGGGGACCCCCCCCAAAAAAGGCAGTAAGCAGTCCCTCCATGGCATCTTCATCAGCTCCTATGTCCAGCTTCCTGCCCTAATTGAATTCCTGTCCTGAATTCCTTTGATGATGAACAGCAATATGGAAGCATAAGCCAGATAAACCCTTTCCTCCCCAAGTTGCTCTGACCATGGTGTTTCATCACAGCAGTAGTGACCCTAACTAGGAAAGAAGTTGGTACCAGGATAGCGGGATGCTGCAATAACAGACCAGACCTGACCATCAATGTTTTTTTTTTTTGGGGGGGGGGGTTGTGGAAGGACTTTGGAACTTGGGGCTAGAAAAGCCATTGATTATTGAGAGCACAGTGGGCTGTTCTGTAGGAGCTTGGAAGACAAGAATTTTGAGAGCAGTACAGATGATGGAGGCCTGGCCTGTGACATTTCAGAGGGAAGCAAAAACTCTTCCGGGTCATTTGTGTGAAGAATCCGTGGAGTCTGGTAAGCTGGGGCTGAAGAATCAGCTGTGATTAACAGGGAACCAGAAACACTGAAGTTAAACCTTTGCTTTGCAGGAACAATGGATGCTGGTCAGCTGGAGCTGAAGAATCAGCTGTGATTAACAAGAGACCAGCATCACTGAGGTGAAGTCTTCAGGGAAGTGTCTGTTCAGGGTCAGCACACAGAAGCTGTGGTCCAGAAGTGGAAGAGGTTGTACTCATGCTGGCAGCTGAACTTGGCAGAGTCACCCAGGTGCTGGTTTTGAAGGTGTGAAGGGGACATGGAGAGCAGTTGAAGCTTGGCAATGTGTGGCAGAGCTGGAGTCCCTGAAGAGAGCCCAGGAGAGGCTAAGGGTGAAGATGCAGCCCAGCAGTGGAGCGGAGCCAGCAGGAGCCTAGAAGACAAGCTGTGTGTGCTGCAGAGGGCAGAGCCAGAGAAGCGACCCAGGCCCCTTGGAGAAGCCCAGGAGAAGATCATGAGTGAATCGAAGATTGTGGCATTATTTATCTGTGTTGGGAGTTTGGTTTTGCTTTGTTCAATTGTGACTGTGCCCTGGTTCTTCCCTCTTCAAGTGAGAAAGTATTAGCTTATTATTTATTTATTTTTAAAGGTTTTATTTATTATGTATACAACATTCTGCTTCCATGTGTATCTGAACACCAGAAGAGGGCAACAGATCTCATAACGGATGGTTGTGAGCCACCATGTGGTTGCTGGGAATTGAACTCAGGACCTCTGGAAGAGCAGTCGGCGCTCTTAACCACTAAGCCATTTCTCCAACCCGATTATTATTTATTTTATAGGCATCCACAGTTGAGAGACTTTGATTATTTATTTATTTATTTATTTAATTCTTTGTTTTGTTTTTCGAGACAGGGTTTCTCTGTATAGCCTATCCTGGCACTCACTCTGTAGACTAGGCTGGCCTCAAACTCAGAGATCTGCCTGCCTCTGCCTTCTGAGTCCTGGGATTAAACACGTGTGCCACCAATGCGCCGCCAACTTTGAATTTTTAAAAGAGATTTTAGATTTTAAAGGATTTGAGATTTTTATAGAGACTGAACTTTTTTTTTTTTCCCAAGTCAGGGTTTCTCTGTGTAGCTTTGTAGACCAGGCAGGCCTCGAACTCACAGAGATCTGCCTGCCTCTGTCTCCCCAGTGCTAGGATTAAAGGGATGCACCACTGCGGCCTGGCTAAGTAAAGTTTTTGAAATAGTAAAGACTTTCAAGATCTAATATGTTTTATATTTGTGGTATTAATTAATCTTGGGATGAACCAAAACTAAGGAAAGCTTATGTCTTAAAAAACCCTTTCCTCCCCAAGTTATGTTGGTCACGGCGTTAATCACAGCAATAGTGACCCTAACTATGGCAGACCACAAATAAGAAGTGAGTTGTGACAGAAGGGAAACCATCACTGCCTTTCATGGGGAGTCTGGGAAGCCTACTTCTCACCTGGCTGTCTGGAGCATCATGACAGTGTTTTCTCCCTCGAAAGTGCAGGCCGGGGTAAAAGTGACATAAATATTTGGAATTCCACTGCTGTGAGAATAGCCATGTCCACCACAAGCCATCCGACATTCTTCGATACCAGCATTGGCTGTCCAGGTAGTAAAAGCCTTAAGCCCAGCGGTGAGGGCGTGAAGCTAGGGGACAAGTACAGGCCATGAGAACCCTGGCTTAGAATACACCTTCTAACAGAAAGACACATCCTCCTGGGAGTGCACTGGTCACTGTCAGAAACAGCTGTGCACATGCCTACCACAGAGGGAGTCATCTGCAGTCTGTGTGCATGTCTGTCTGCTGCAGAGACAGTCATCTGCAGTCTGTGTGCATGTCTGCCGCAGAGACAGTCATCTGTGATCTGAATCAGCAATGTTCTCACACCTTCTGAACGGTTGTACTGCCCAAACAGTGAGCCCTTTCTTTAAATTCTATTAATAACAATTCTAGCTTGCCATCTGATCCGCATTTAATTTTAAAAAGTTCCAAGGTTATGTAATTCCTTTTAGGAAATTCCAACATGCAGTTTTTGCTGGACGTCTGCCAACAGGCAAACATGAAACCTAAGGGTATAGAAACCTACAGGTATTTACAGAGGAATGAGAAAGTGCATCCATACCTCAGGCAGCTCACTCAGGTCCCCTTTGCCAATGCTCTCATTAATTCGAAGGTAGGTCTCCTTCATGTACCTTCCTACAAAGTGGAAGGCATAGGCAGTGGCCAGCAGAGGGAAGAGTTTATACTGCTGGGTTTGAAAATCCAAAATCTGTGGTTCTGGTTCACTAAATAACAGAAAAAAGAAAAAAAAAATAGTAAAATTTACTTGCAGTAAAGACATGGCAATTGAGTTCATCCTTACATAGGTTCTTCTTGTACGACAGCGGCTGTCACTACTGTCATTTTACAAATGGGGAAGTGAGAGGTTAGGGAATCTGTCTGAGGTCACACAGCTCAAAAATGGCAGTTCTTGGCTCTGTAAGGTCATATTGTTTTCTTTTTTTCTTCTCCCTGGTTGTTTGAGACGGGGTTTCTCCCCATATCCCTGGCTGTCCTGGCACTCACTCTGTAGACCAGGCTGGCCTGGAACATACAGAGATCCACCTGCAATGCTCTTCTCCACGCTATTGCACTGCTGGGAGGACAGTCTTCTAACTGCCTCAGTGTTTCCCGTATATCTCAGCTACAGAAAAACTCAAGCTGGTCAGCTAACAATTCAGAGGATACTACAAAAGGCTCAACACGCTGTGTTCTGACCAATCCTGGAGAGGCCCACCTGGTCTACAGAGCGAGTTCCAGGACAGGCTCCAAAGCCACAGAAAAACCCAGTCTTGAAAAACCAAAAAAAAAAAAAAAGACAGTCAAAGCAAGCCATCAGCATGAGCCCATCTCAGACCCCACTCTCACCCTGGCTTGATTTCAGACTGGTGCCTCACGGCACTGTATCGTATGGCGATGGTGCAAGCCTTAGACAGACACCGAGCTGCATCTCCCACAAGGAAAGACCTGACGAACACCATGGTCCCATACGTCAGCTTGTCATTCAAAGGCTTCACATACGTGCCATCAGGCTTCACCTGGCAAAACAAAACAGGCCTGAAGTGTCTTTCTGTGAGGCCAAGAGACTGGGTACTGGAACAGCAGGGGACCTGGCTTCAGTGGAACCTGGCAACTGGTCTGAAATACTAAATTTCACTCCCGACTCTGACCTGAACCAGAGATTTTGGGAGCAAGGGCTTGATTTTAAGACATGAGGTAAGCCAGGTGGTGGTAGCACAAACCTTGAATCCCAGGGTTCAGGAGGCAGAGGCAGGCAAATCTCTGTGAGCTTGAGGCTAGCCTAGTCTACAGAGTGAGTTCCAGTAAAGCCAGGGTTACACAGAAAAACCCTGACTTCAAACAAAACATTACAAGAAAGACATGGGTTTGCTATGCAGCTCAGCCTGACCATGAGCTCACTTCATCTGCCCCTCCAGAGCACACGGCACTTGGCTCAGAATCTGAGTTCTAATTGGCCTTCCAGGCTATTTCAAGTTGCTTAAGGGCTTGAGAACTGATACTTTTCACACCTTCTCAACTGCTTCTAAGTCACTGTCAGAATAAAAGAAGTCAAATGTCAAAGCATATCACCTTCTGCAGCCAACAAGCAAAGGCTGGAGCAGGAGAACTGCTCTGAACCCTAGCTTAGCTAGACTGGGATACATAGTGAAAACTTGGCAATGACAAATTTACAACCAAATAAATTAAATAAATATACCTGGGCATATTTCATCAGCATGTTCTCTCTAGGAATACGGTAATTATCCATCTTCAGGTAGCCATTATCCATCTCTTCATAACCAAATTTGGGGCCAATATCCCCAACAGTAATACCTACCATAGACAACAGAAATACGTGAGATAGTTATGCTTTTGAATTCCTTGCCTTACACTTTTTGCGGCTTATTTAATTATTTTACATGTGCGGGTATTTTCTGTGCATGTATGTCCATGACCACATGCATGTCTGGTGCCCCAGGAGGCCAGAAGAGGGTTTTGGGTCCCCATGGAGCTGGAGTTACAGACGGTTGTGGCTACCACATAAGTGCCAGAACTGAACCCTGGTCCTCTGGAAGATCAGCCAGTGTTCATAACTGCTAAATCATCTCTCCTGCCCTGTGTAACTGACGTGTAAGTCAGATGAACAAGACTTACCTGGCAAGGGCTTGTGGGTCCCGATTTCACGAATAGGGACAACAAAGGCATGTAGTCCATAGCACTGCCCTTGAGTGATGAGCTGAGCAAGAACGATTGCGTGATTGGAAGTCTTCCCAACTGCAGCATCAGGAATAGGGGAGAAGTCAGTGTGCTGTTCCTGTTTTTTAATTTTTCTCTTTTCTTTTCTTTTTAAAGGTAGAGCCTTGTGAACTCTTGTTTCTCCTACCTCTATGTCCTGAGAGCTGGGATGACAAGTGTGAACGAACCACCACACTTGGGTATGTTTTTGTATTTTTATGGATTATATTACATTTACCGGGGGAGGTCGATCATGCCGGTAATATGGCATGCATGCGGGGGTCAAAAGACAACATGTGGGAACTGTTCCTCCTCCCACCATAATGGTTTCTGAGGACTCAACTCAACTCACTGGTGTCGGCACAAATACCTTTTCCTGCCGAACCATCTCACTGGCCCTGTTGTTGAATCTCTAAATGGTGGGAATAGTAAAGCATGTGAAAGCATGTCCTTCCCCATGACAATCTCACATACAGCTTCTGGACAAAGCTTGCAGTTTTGCTCTTTTTTTTTTTTTTTTTTTTGGCAGATAAATCCTACATTAAAAAAGATAGGTTTTCAATGTTTTTAAACATTTAGTATGGGGATTTGCGTGTGCACACATGAGCACGTAGGAGGTGTGGGTGTGCATGTGCCACAGTGCCCATAGGAGGCAGGAAACAACCTGAAGGAAGTCAGTTCTTTCCTTCCACCATGTGATTACCGGGTCACACTCAGGTTTGCAGGCTTGTACCAAATGTGCCTTTACCTGCTGAGCCAGCTCTCTGGTGCAGCACAGGCGTTTGGTTCTAGGACCTGTCCCAGCTCTTTAACCCACATCTGCTCTTGGGATACCTTCATTCTCTTAATAAACTGCTCTGTTTCTGTCACACAACAACAACAAAATTCTAGTCAGGTGTGGGACTCCAGCACTTCAGAGGCAGAGGCAGGTAGATGTCTGTGAGTTTTAGGACAGCCAGGGCTACACAGAGAAACCCTGTCTCAAAAAAAAAAAAGACAACAACAAAAAACAAACAAACAAAAAAACCAACAACAACAAAAAACTTAAATAAAGGCTATTTTGAGATACTTAGAATCTGAGACCAACCTGGATTACACCGCAAGACCTTGCTCCCACAAACAAAACGAGAATGTAAATAATAAAATCCATCAACTACTAATTACACCTGAAATAGATATCCCAAGGCCATAATTGAGTGAAAGGACACACTAAATATAAATTCTATATCAAAGTTGTTTATAGTAAAAATTTGAACGTAACTCAAATTTTTGTCAGGAATAAGAACTAGGGAAGTGGGCTGGAAAGATGGCTCAGAGGTTAAGAGCACTGGCTGCTCTTCCACAGATCCTGAGTTCAATTCCCAAGAAATCTCATCTGTAATTAGATCTGTACCCTCTTCTGGCTGCAGGCATATATGCGGGCATAACACTGCATACATAATAAATAAATAAATAAATAAATAAATAAAGCTTTATAAAAAAAAAAATAGGGAAGCTATGCTGAGCAGTGGTGGCGCATGCCTTTAACCCCAGCACTCAGGAGGTAGAGGCAGGTGGATCTCTGTGACTTTGAGGCCAGCCTGATGTACAGAGTGAGTTCCTGGATAGCCAGGGCTATTACATAGAGAAATCCTGTCTGAAAAAAAAAAGAAGAAAAGAAATAGGGAAATTTATTTTATTTTTTGAGACAGGATCTCACTATGTAGCTCTGACTAGTCTGGAACTCACTCC